AATCTTTTTCTATACTTCAGTTTTTCCTTATTTTATTTTTTCTTTCTCTTCGATATGACTTCCTTCCTTCCATCCTTCCTTCCTTCCTTCCTTCCTTCCTTCCTTCCATTCCTTTTTTTTTTTTTTGATTTCGTATCGCTAAAAAACAAACACAAAAACTCAACGAGACATGTGAAAACCCGATAATTTAAAAACCGACATAACGTGTTAAAACGCGATATTTCAAAAACGATGAAACTGACGAAGCACACAAAAAAACTATTAAATAATAGCTTATGAAAGCCGAAAGTACTCAAACTCTGGACAATTTATATTTGAATATATACCGGAAACCAAGAAAATGGTCTATAAGATAGATTACTGTCTAAATACACCCAAAATATAGTCTGTTTCATGTTTAAGTGCAATCTTCAAGCCATGTGTGTTGTTTTTTGTTTGGCAATTTATATATGCTGGTCAGTGGTGCATTATGGGTAGTAAGGTCTATTGTATTATCGTGATGGGTATGTTTCAAATTATTCTATATATATAATATTTAGCAAAAATTCTCTTCTTACATATTTTATTAAAGATCACAAAATGTCCCCTTTAAGAATTTTTCTTGTCGATTAATTTTAATTTTCCTTGTTTTCTTACAAATATTTTTATAGATGGTTCCTTATAATTTGCCTTCAAGTATTTTCCGCCATTTTTATTCTTTTTAAGGCATAAGGTAGTTTTTAATCAAACTAAATTTTTGCTTTCTTCTGCATTTTCGATTGGTAGTTTTAATTGTTTTACTTAAGATGTAGTGAAGTATTTCGATTGACAGTTTGAGAATATAATAGTAAAATCACAGTAATAGCCAGGTTATAGCTACATTATAAATGTAACATCAACGAAATAGCCAGGTTATAGAGAAATTATATATGTAACATCACAGAAATAGCTAGGTTCTAGCTAGATTATAATTGTAACATAACAGAAATAGCTAGGTTTTGGTTATAATTGTAACATCACAAAAATAGCTAGGTTATAGCTAGATTATAAATGTAACATCACAGAAATAGCCAAGTTATAGCTACATTATAAATGTAACATCAAAGAAATAGGTAGATTATAACTAGATTATAAATATAACATCACTGTAATAGCCAGGTTATAACTGGATTATATATGTAACATCACAGAAATAGCTAGGTTCTAGCTAACGAAAACCCTGTTTACGACACTGACAACACTGAATACTTGATTATCACCGAGGTTGTCGAAATCACTATAACCAAAATAGAAAAAATATATATTTTGACATTTTATACAAAATTTTGTTTCGGACATGCAACAATTCATTCGAAAATTGAACGAAAGCAATATAAAATTGAACAGAAATAATTTGTTGGTTGAACTTAAAATCAGATTACTTGTTTTAGTGAATTATTGCTGCCGATGCATATACAGGGTGTCCAAAAAATGTATACACATTTTAAATAATTATAAAGTTAGTGTTTATTAAAAAACATTTCATTTTCAAAATTTAATAGAATCTACAGACATTATTTTATTGTTTTGTATTTTTGTGCATTCTTGTTCAATGGCTACTCTCAATTCAGTTCTTGTTGCAGTTTTCGCAGCGTAGACTTTGTCTTTTAAGTATCCCTACAAAAAGTCTAGTGGTGTGAGGTCTGGTGAATGTAGAGGGTATTCTACGAAACCCCTTCTTCCACTCCACCTGATTGGCAAGATCTCATCAAGGCGGGATCTAACACCACTCTTCCGTTTGGATCATCGTCAATAATAGCATTCACTATTCTTAGAATGTAACTTTTTTATTGACACCGCTTCAAAATGCGTTTCATAGATGATTTTGAAATAACTACCTCACGACTGTTATCAGCTTCAAACTTATGTCTAATTCGGGGGATGGTAAGTGGCGTTGATCAATCTGTTTGAAACTCTCTCCTAAGTTGTCTTTGCACTTCAACTGCGTTTTCACACTTCCTGTAGTATTTTAGACTGAATGTCCTTCGTTCAAAGCTTAGTTTGGATACCATCATTAATTCTAATGGGCTTAACCTGGAAAGAAAAAAAAACATCAATTAAGCTATCAGCTATTAAAATGTGTGTACATTTTGAGACACCTTCTATATAAATATATTTCTTTCAAAAATATACTTTCAAAAATATTCTTTCAAACATTTTGAAACTACCAGCTTCTCTCGTTTCGTGCGCATGTGTAGACGGGGCAACATCAACAAATTCCAGTCCGATGAAATCCTAACGGATGAAACGTGCCACAAAACCTTTTTTCAATTTGTCATACTATTTTTCTAAATACTGTGCTATACCATTAATACTGTTTAATTAAAAACAAAGAATTTCATTATATGTCGTCATTGTTTACATTAAGATGCGTTTCCTGAGCAGACATGATCGATCGAGAAAAATCGACGAAGATTGTGTGCGTATAAACAGTAATTTTGACTTTGCTAACTAGACTCTTCTCTGTAGATGAATGGTACAGCACGTCAGATCAAATGATGGTTTCTGTATAGGAATGCAGGTTCGATTCCTGCCGGAGAACGCATATTTCTTACGAAATTTCTCGAACATTCAGGCCGGTTAATGTAATTAGCACTGTTTAATTAAAAACAGAGTATTTATTTAAATAAATTGTATCTATAAAAATAGCGTATAAACAGAAAATATATATGTGTGTGTGTGTATACTTTCTGTTTATATATAAATGGGAACGTGACGTAAAACGTATAAACAGAATATATATATATATATATATATATATATATATATATATATATATATATATATATATATAAAGAAAGAACAGTAAGATATAAAATCCGGTGTTCTTATAGATATTTTTATTTTTACAAAATAGTGCTCAATGTAAATTTACAGAGCATTAATATTATAATTAATTGATTTAAAATATGGTTTTTTTTCGCGAAAAAAAACATATTTTAAATCAATTAATTTATAATATATATATATATATATATATATATATATATATATATATATATATATATATGTAGAGGACCGGGGTGTTTGCGTGTTGTTGTATTAGAAACACGTATGTAACTCCTGGTAGAATATTAAAAGGTCCAACTACCAGAAAATGGCCAGATTTGAATTAAGTCCAACTGAAGATGTAAAGAAGACAAACAAGACCGATATATATATATATATATATATATATATATATATATATAAACAAATATATGTATTTAAACAAAACAGTTTTACAATGGACAATAACATTTGTGCGTGTGTGTAAACATTGGTTCTTTGGTGAATGTTCGTATTTTGGTGAATGTTCGTACGTACGTGTATGTGTGTATAATGTTCATGGCGTCTCCCACAAATGGGAAGACGCAGATCTTCTGAGAAGGCTTATATTGTAATCGCTGAAATGAAAAAGAGAACGAGGCAAGAAGCCTCCGAGTATTTGTAATATAAGGAGAGTGACCCCTAATGACCATGAGCTTGTTTTTTGCTGTTTGCTGTTTGCTGTTTCGCACCGCGTCTTTTGTGATGATTTCTACGTAGGATATACTTAGAAAGATTCTGTAGCATCTAATTTCAAATACTAGACGTCTTCGCAATACATTTTATAGTAAAATGACCAACAATACATTTTATAGTAAAATGACCAACAATACATTTTATAGTAAAATGACCAACAATACATTTTATAGTAAAATGACCAACAATACATTTTATAGCCAAATGACCAACAATACATATTTATAGTAAAATGACCAACAATACATTTTATAGCAAAATGACCAACAATACATATTTATAGCAAAATGACCAACAATGCATTTTTATAGTAGAATGACGAACAATATATTTTTATAGTAAAATGACCAACAATACATTTTTATAGCAAAATGACTAACAATACATTTTATCTGTCGTTGAAGGCATACAACTGTGCTCAAAATATATTTAGTTGAATCCATAAAATTGTGTTCAAAATATTTATATTTTTGCATTAAATAACCCATTGAAGTGTTGATATGCCACTAAAAAAATTCATCCCATTCACCCTTTGCAGATTATTTGATATTTAATATTTATATTTGATATTTATTTAATATATATATATATATATGTGTGTGTGTGTGTGTGTGTTGATATAATAGGAAATAACTGTTAAATTCATGATCCAAAGTCCGATGTCTTTAATACTTTTGTTTTTATTTTTAAAAACCGTGTTCGATACAGAAGTAGAGTCTAGATTATTATTTTTTAAATATATATATATATATATATATATATATATATATATATATATATATATATATATCACCCCGATAATAATGCGTCCTTTTTATGATGTTGGTTCACGACATCAGAGTTGGACGTTGGTGGTGTTGCAGTAGAGAATGAACCTTCCTGTCAGTAACCCATAGTTTTCTTTATCTTGTTACAGCTGTGCGATAATCTATCAAAATGGCGGAAGTGTGTAATTCATGTGAAAAAAAAATATATCGATCAACATTCACTGAAGAAAGTTTACGGAGACCAAACAATGTATGTGAGCACATTTTTTAAGAGTTGCTGCATTCAGACCGTTGCACATTGCTACCGAAACTGCATAATCAATGGTAGGGACTATATGTAAAGTTTTTTTGGTGGCAACCAGTCTAAGAGAAGGAAAACTCTGCATTCAAAATCCTTCACAAAATAGGCTTTTTTTTTCAATCAATTCATTCAAAGCAAAACGATAATGCCACTATGACGCAAGGGGTTACTGGGAGTGAAAGAGAATGAGACGACTTTAGAAGTAACTAGAAACCCCATTCTTAACACGAAATATACTGGCTTTAGGGAGGTCTTTAACAAGTATATTCAGAGGGAGTAGCGGTACTGGGATAGTGATCCTCACAGTGGCCTCTTTGTAATTCGGCCTTGACTGGGAGAGTGGAGGTCAGATTTTGAGAGGTCTGGAAGGAAAGAAGAAGTGGTGCTGGCCCACTTAGGCATTGGCCATG